AAAAGTTTCTATGCATACAAAGTCCGTTAAATACTCAAAGAAATTCGATGCTTTTTTCGAGAAAATACCCGATTTTTCTTGGGGTTCAGTGCTATTTCAAATTGAAAACTTGGTAACACTGCAATCAAGTCCGCTGCATGGCCGTTTTCCGGCTAGATTTAGCCGGTTGCGATAGCAAACAGCCGGAAAAAATTCGATTTAGCCGGCAGCCGATTTGTTAGCCGTTTTGCAAAAAAAATTAGCCGTTTTTTGCCGATTTTGCTCTTCGCCTTATTTTATTAAAATTCAAATATACAAGTTTTTATTTTTACAAATTTAGTGCTCCAAAATCTATTAGAAATGGCTAGTCTTACCTCTGAGAAAATTTGCATGTCGGACTGTGTTATATAAAATTGAAAAACAATCAGAAAGTGAGCCGATTTCAATGTTTTTTGTTTTAAGCGAGTGACCCAAATACACATAAACTGGGACGCGTCATTTTAGCAGATTACAAAGTTACAAGTTTTGCTGAAATTTTGCAGAATTTTCATAATTTTTACACTAAGTGTGAAATCTGTTTGTAGTATATGTTGTTTGTTAAGTAATGAGCAACATATTCATAAAAAATAATACATATTAAATAAACTAAAGAAAAATAGGCAAAACTTGCTTCAATTTTGCGTCCCAGTTTATATTTGGGAGAACGCAGCGGCAATTTTCTTCATAAAATTTTTGTTATGAATGTCTTAAATTTAAGTGTGAAGTTTTATTCGCTACACTTAGAAAATAAAAGAGCACGAATTTCGATGTGGAGCAAAACTCTCTGGGAAGACAATACATGGTGCAAACATACTTTTAAAATTTTATAAAATAAAACTGCAGTAGTTTTCATCTTATGTGGATAATTCTTGTGACAAATATGTACATAGTTTCGTGCTTACATTTTTGTATATATATTTTTAACAGCACCACATCTTTATCAGAAAATTCCGAGAATCCAAAAATTGGTCCTGTTACAAGTTGCAGGCATCATTTTAACTCGACCTCTTTCCTGTTCCACGAATAATGGTACATCTTACAGAGGTTTAAAGATATTTTGCGTCAGCAATTTGTTATCAACCTACGTACCCTACCTCGGAAAAGCAAAAAACTTTATATTCGAACGTTTGCTCAGGTGTACCGAATTCTGGCAGTTTGGAAACGCGCAACACTTTTAATATTTTCATCCAACTTCACTAACTTCAAATTTTTTTTCTACTTTTTTAAGAAACAAAAATTTGTCTGCTAGTGAATTTGGTGGCATGATTTTAGTTAAATGTCATAAACTTGTTAAAAGTGAAGTGGTCGGCAACAACAACGAATGTAAATAAATTAAACTACCTTCTGCTTTCACAGCTTTACCTGTTCATTTCTCAAAATATTACCCTCCGCCTAAGCAAAAGTGCCATACTTTCAGCTAATATAGCCATTTTGCGGGACAAAAAGCAACCTACTGAAAATTATCCAATATGTATAAGAAGGCAAAATTGTTTAGTAGAAAAGAAAACGCCATAAGTTTGTAATTTATCTCTGTTTTAAATATTTAAGTAATACAAACATGACTTCTGATGTAAAGCTTAGCTACGTATAACGACATTTTCCTTTGTTAAACAAAAATAAAGTGGTGTACAGCTTAGCTACGTATAAATAATCTTTATTAACCAAAAAAAAAATTCAATGGATTTACTAGTCTTTCTAATTGTGGTTTATGTACATATTTAAAAAAAATTTAATTCTGGTTGAAACATTTCAGCCGTTTTTAGCCGTTTTTTTTGTCCAATCTAGCCGGTCGCTCTGAAAAGTTCTGGCAACACTGATGGCCACGTGAGTTCCAAAAATACCTGCGAGGTAAACAATTACGCACACTGAAACACTTTTACTCGGAAAAATTGCCTATAAACTAATTAGATTGCACATTTCATTATTTTTCAATTAAGTCACCAATGTGATTTGAGTGACGTAAGTACAAACAAAATCAAGTTGTTATATTTCTCCACATACCCCCAGTCAAATGAATAT